CATCATCACAGTACCTGTAGACTTATCTTCATGCTGTTTAACCGTAGTGCCCGGAAAACTTGGTTATGATTTCTGTCTGTAGTAAACTTTGTATTCACTACTGACTGCAATCGAATGATGAATAACTTTAATGTACTCGAAACATTTTACCCACTGGAGTTCTTGGAATAAACACGTTATACTTCTACCACTGCCCTTTTGTTTGCTACGTTGTGGTTGTCGAAAACAAATTGCTAGAGCGTCAGATATGAGCCCCTGGGTCCAAAGTAACCACCAGCTGTTAGTGTGTTTTCGTCGTCACGCCATCGTAATGGGACGTGCAGAAGAATTCAGGTTCCGCCGCGACCGTTAAGATCTGGAGAAGAAAGAAGGTAGAAGTACGTGAAATGATATCTAGATAAGACAGGTAATGTTCTTAAATTTAATGGTGAAGAATAATCGACAATTAGAAGTGGTTTGAGGCGAAAGAGAGAGGAGTTCTAGAAACGGAAAGCAGAAATTGAATGAACAAGGTTTCAGATTCGTAGGTCAACTTCTGTACTGCAGTGCCCGTGTCTCGAACCTGGGTGCATCCCAGTTCAAAACTTCCGCTTCAAATGTTGCTCATTGGGATCGGTCGTAACATCTCGCGTAGTAACTTTTCATGGCTCAGAACACACACGTCAAGGCAACCACTGTCGGAACCCGGTTTTCTGTAAAGCTGTCAACGACCCTTAAGACACTGATATTAGATCCGACAAAAATGTCGCTGAACCATATTCCCTACTATTTCGAAAGGCTCATTGTTTTTGTCATTCCCTTCCCACTTTCATTTACTCTGTCACCCCCAAGTAGGTGAACTTTTAGCCGGTCTGCAAGTTGGAGCGACAGCCGTCGTCATTTTGTTGCCAGTATCCGTGACAACGATTTCTATGAGAAGCAGCCTTGTAGAACATACAGAGTACCGCGACTTGACGATCCAGTACAGCTCATGAAGGGGCCAAAACACCTTTCTAGATCGCGTCTGCAAAAATGGCCCCTTCCTGAAAGAGGAAGTCTAAATATCGCTACTGTATTGCACTGGCAATGAAGACAGACGGAAAGAGAGTCCAGAATGGGTAACACCCGATCCGCTTTCTCCGGCAATACTACCAATATTACGGGAGAAATAGGACTGAGGCAAACAACATAGTCGCATATAGAACTTAACAGCTTGACATAGAGAACAGTTTAGCTGAAGACAGTTTGAAGACATCCACTAAACCATTTCGGTAGGAAATCATTCATCTGAGAACAATCTAACTGGGAAACAACTGGCACATAGTTCACAAAGTTATCGACATGCTTAACAATATTAGTTTTCAAAAGATAAGGAAAGTCACACAAAAGAAACAAAAAAGACGAAGAGAAAACAAAGCACTTCGAGGCTTACCGGCTTCAGTAAGTAGTGAATTGGAGTGCATCCCTATATAAACGGCATAGTGTTTCCCTTCAGAAAGATAAGAATGAAGTCGCTTTGTGACTTGAGACTCAGCATTCGCGATGCCAAGCTTATTTAACAAGATTGGTTTACAAATGGATTCAAGTCCAGGTGTGTACTCCGAAAAGATACAACTCGAAATACCTACCACTCTTGTCCAAATTGGGAACAACATTATGATACAAGACAACGGTAGGATGCAAAGTAGTTCTACTTTGTTTAAAAGGAAGTTACTTAGGACCTCTAAAAGTGGAAGGCAAAAAGAAGGAGTTCCTCTACTGTTCTTCGAAGTGGGAGGGGCTATAACAACAGATCTGAACTGTAGATGTGATACAAAAGGTGATTTAGACAACGGTGCAATTGTAATATTTTGGAACGATGACAACAGATATGACGGATAAAATAAAGAATGTTTTCCTATAACGAAACCATTGGACCCAAAAAACAAACGTCCACCGTCCATAAGGCATGAAGTTCAAAGTTTAATTTTTGAAGTATTGAGCATATTTGCCTCGAGTTCTTCAACTAACATGGTCAACGAAACAGGAGAAGCTGTCGCTTAGCTGGCTTCCGCGCCATGAAGCAATATACCAGTATTTTCTGTGCCTAGGAAAGTAGGCGACAAATAATAGACACCTATACTAAAGAGCAGTTCGTTAATAACTTTGTCTGCACATTGGCCATGTGACCCTATGTTGTGGTCTTTCGAGGGCTACAACATCGGTTTGTCCGTGTTTGCGATGGCACTAGTTGACGAGACGAACCACGTCGCATTTATAGATATCCTGGAACACAACAGCGACCTGGTCGCTCTTGTCCACTGGAAGGAAGCTTTCAAGCTTCCACTCTGTTAGGACCCAACCAAGGGAGTTTTGTTATTTGATAATAATGGTGATAAGAGCCTTTTTCTGAAGGGTATACTGAGAAATACAGATAAGATTTTCGGCACGAGTTGGATACAAATAAATAATGTATACGAGCGCATAATAAAATGAAATAAAACATAGCAAGAAAATATCGGCTCCCTTTACAACCATTTTAAAAGGGAGAGTGAACTTAGAAAAATGGCCACACCAACAGCTGAATTCATATGGCACAATCAGCAGCAAACTGTGCACTTCCTCCCACTTTCTTCCTCGCGCGTAGTGCAAGCTTGATGAGCCATGGTAGATTTTTCAAGTCTGGCGGTATATGGGGGGTCCTACGTACCTGCGCTTAATCCTCAGTGAGAAATGTCACGTGCGAAGCGAAGAGGATGCTGGTAGTCTGATCAGATGATTCCTGCCAGCCGTTTACATGAATTGGGGGTGCTTGTTGACAATAATGTCACTTGGAATGGTTAATGACAGCACCAGGTCTGTTAACAGTCTTCGAAGTTCTGTGCAATAAGCTGCAGTCTCTTCTCAGTAACCCAGGATAGGACTAAGGGAAACAACAGATAGTAGTGGTTAAATGCAGGAGTCTATAGAACATGGAAATGAAGTTCAGCAATGCCGGAAACTCTCGGCTTCTTGGTGTAGTAAGCTGGGTGGTAGGTTCCTGCAGAAAGTGGTAAAATATGTCAGGATCAAGAAAGATCAGAAGGAAAGCGAAAACCTAGACAGACAACTTTTGCTGCGCCCCTCAATACACAGCAATAGACCAAGCAGTGGCGATGAGACTGGCAATTGGCACAAATCGTTTTCGCATCTGAAACTAAATTTCACTTTAAACTTGCTATTTCCTTGTTTTTCCGTTAGTCCCGCCTCCTCGAAACGACAGAGGGGTTGGGCTTCGATGGGGTAATCGCTTCTTATGTGTGCGTGACACTGAATCGTCTTTAAGAAGGTCGAAATCTCCTAAAATCACATTGCGTGTGCCTAGTCAGGGAAAGCGAGCAGTGACACAAAACATAAAACTTTCATAGTGACACTGCTGAAGGCCCCTGTATATTGCTTCTACTCAGCACTAACCGGGCGTAGGCAGTCTCACGAATACCATGCTGATTCCCCCTATGCAGAGGATTTTCTGCCTGTGAATTACAGAGCCTCGGGGAGAGTGAAGTAAACAGACACTCCACCACCTTTCCTTAAGATCTTGTCGGGAAGCAGCAAAATGTTTGGAGCGGTCAGTTTTCGATTGGAAACTTGAGGAACACTCACTTTCAATAACGACGAACAAAGCACTAAAAAAGCAGCTCATCAGTTTCGTTAGGCAACCTTAACGCCTTTGTGTAGGCACAAATGATGCTTTCTACTCATAAACAAATATATATATACATATATATATATATATATATATATATGTATATAGGTGTTTTATTCTCACATCAGTTATCTAACATGAATGAATCCAGTTTACAGGCCCAGTTAGTGGCGTTCTTCCAGCATATGGTGTGTTTTGTGAGGCGCCAGTGATTTGTGCTAGGGTTGCCGAGAGTTTTGCCCTCTATTGAAGAGAATTCCATCCCTTCCCTGTTTTTTGGTGCTGATCAATCCGTCGGAGAAAAAACTGGTTCCCGTTCATTTTGACTTCTTTGGAGCCGTCTATTTTGCGGCTCATTTGGATGCACTGGAACTCCAGGAGACAGGCGTCATCAACCTGCCCGACAAGCTTCCAGCGTAGCTATCGCCATGCAAGGAAAGGGATACATCAAACTAGCTGGCACAGAAATCAGCTCCTCAGACATCCTTTCAAGTCAAACGTAACAGGTTTTGTGAGAAGACACCCGTAATTTTCATAAACTTTTGAAGAAATGTCTATTCGTTGTTGGCGCCAAGATAATCTCCTAATCTCATCCATTCCGTATATCCTTCAACTGACAGGTTTCTACCGTAAGAATCACCCTCATGATACTCGCCCGCCAGTGTCCTCTGCTTCATGAGTTTCCAGTAAAGAATGTCTGATGGAATTCCTAGCGCATCTTCGGTGAGAAGTGGGTGAGGTGCCAATATTAAGCTTCCGACGCCCTTAAAGATGAATGACGCTTTCATGAATACGGGCCAACTCGGAACGATGGCTGAGACTAATCACCCCGACTTGTTCGATTGATTGAGTTGACTTTCGTTTGCTTATAGCACTGGGTTATTCTTGCCCTGAAAATGATACGGAAGGTTATGATAATTAATCAAGCCTACTAGGACTACATATTCGTCACAGATAGTAGTGTCTGCCCTATGACGAGGCTCAGTTAATTGGTGGGAACCCTTAGACTTCTTATCCACAATCTTGAAACTGTTGACTTCAACCACTTGTAACAAGTTTAGTAACCACCTTCGAGTCCCTTTCGTATACGGAGACTATAAGGCCATCTATCTCAGCTAAACGTTTATCACGCTTGAGCTTGTGCTTACATACTTCTTGTTGCCATAGAAATAATAGGTTTGACTTGAGTCAAAGGTTTAGTTCTTTTAGCTGATATACACTATCCGCTAAACTGGATTATTTTGAAAAAAACATTCTGGATAAAACAAGATACTGAGGGCTATAGTGAGAGAAATCGCCATCACTTCCAGTGTACATTGACGTACTGTGGAACGACGTAGTTATACTGCGCTAATCTGCACAGTTTTCAGTAGCCGCGGTAAAAGATTCATCATGCCAAAGCGTGGTATGTTTATTGTTGTTCCGGATTTTGAACATGCTCAATTTCCATTTGCACCACGCTATGCTTATATTTATTCATCTGTTTAGGAAGGGGTGGATCATCTGGTGGAAAGTTCCGAATTTCATTGGCGCTTCCTGTTGGAGCTGTGATAAACTGTGCTGACAATAGCGGTGCAAAAAACTTGTACGTTATCGCTACCTTCGGTGTCCGTGGTCGCCTCAATCGTCTTCCATCTGCAGCTACTGGTGATCTTATTGTGTGTTCAGTTAAAAAGGGAAAGCCTGAACTTAGAAAGAAGGTTTTATACGCTGTTGTAGTCAGACAGCGAAAGGCTTACAGACGGAAAAACGGAGTATTCATTTATTTCGAGGATAATGCCGGGGTTATTGTCAATAATAAAGGAGAACTGAAAGGTAAGGTGTGGTTTTGTATTTAAAACTCACGTTTTCTGATTACTTCGTACACTGAATTTAGTGTCCTGTATATTCATTTAGGGCGCATTAAGAACTGCAGACCAATGTGACGTAATATTTCGCCATGAAATAATGAGTAGTGTGTGGACTAAAGCGATAGTTTTGATCGGTCGGGGGCCTTGGTTTTTCTTGTCAGCTTGGTAGGTGTGCAGATGAATGAAATGATTGTTTGTCAGTGGGCAGAAACACAGGAACGTTCAGTGCAGTCCTAACCACCGTCTTTTGTCAAGATATCCTTAGGTTTGAGTAATGGGATTCTGGTAATGATATTTGCCATGACTTTAAGATGGATATAACATTTCACCGTTCAGCTGGAGTTGTACTTTTTAAAGTGACTCCAGCCTACCACAATTCATAGGAAGGTCGAATCGACTGAGTTATTAACTCACTGCGTAATGCTCGGGTAAAATATAGTGCATGCTTTCTTTGAATGTTCACAGTACAACGGTCATGGAAGTGCCACCTGCACCGGGACTGTTTTGCACCACAGGTATCAAAGTATTCTAAAAGTGTACAGCTGAAGACTTTAGTACCTGCATGGCTTGAATGATAGACATGATGGCATCACTAAACTTGAAACGGCCAGCTCACTAAAATCTGCGATTTATGGAACTCATCTGGCTACGGCAAGAGGAGTTTCTGCATCTCACCAAGTTCTAAAATTTTCTGTGGTACCTGGAAATCACATGAGTAGTAGTACTCAGTCAGTGAAGCTTTGGCTCGGTGGATTGAGCAGTTGACTTTCAAACAGCGGGTAACGGGTTCAGATCCCTCTTTACCTTCAGTGTGGTCAACCTGAAAGTCACCAACCCTCACCCAGTATAACTAACTCATTGCTAACTGCGCGAAAGCACCCGTAGTTGTTGAGTGCACGTCGGTGTGAGTACTCAACCATGCCTGAGCCCTCTCTCAAAATCCAACTGTCACGGTGCTTGTTTGGGAGGTATTTGGCAAAAATGTCGCATTTTTCGTGTCCAAATAGCTCAAGTTGTTTAGCCACAGTCAATTGCTAAGGTAAGGGAATATTAGAAACATCTGGGATACTTTCAATCACAAGCTTTTTAGTGCTTTGAAATTGTAGTCTTTCACTAATATGAGTTACTACCCATACAGCTGAACTGTATTTCAGATCTGTGATGTCAGCACAGGATCACTGCTACGAATAATATTAAATTGACTTTTTTTTTCAGGTTCTGCAATTACGGGTCCGGTAGCCAAGGAATGCGCTGATATGTGGCCGAAAATCGCGTCTACCGCCAGCTCTATCCACTAATCAATAAAATTGTACCTTTGGCACTTCATTTCTTTTCTGGGTTTTCACCAAGAACTTTCCGTACTATGATTTGTTCCTAGGTTAGTTTGTGGCTATCCTCCGTACTGTTAACCTGTATTTTACTTATTGAAGTCTTTAGGAAGTTATACAATGTTGCGTTAGCTTATAGCTTGAGGATTTCAGTTGTGCAAACGATAACAACTGGGATGTCTTGCAGTATTTGCGCGTTTTCACATTACTTTAAATGCTTAAGAACGTCATTCCCCTGGTTAACGCTTAGTGTGTATGCTTTAGTTGGAATATAACTGTTTCCTGATTTATGCACTTGGCCAATTTTCACATTCTTTTTGTCGCTTAAGTTTTGAGTAGTATTCGGTGAACTCGTATTATCTACTTCCGGACGTGTCAGACCATCGGTTGATGGGATGTAGACTTGTCTCAAGCAATCCACTACAACTGGTTGCCTGTCGCTTGCCATTTTTCTGTAATAATGTCGAGATGGCTGCGTGGTTTTTGGCCACTTAACAATGGGTAAACGGGCTACAGTCTTGAAAGCACGACTATTACATGTCTCCATACCCTACTGCACATTTCTAGCCGACGGCTGCTACCTTGGCATGGTCGTCGGGCTGAGTGAGCTACGCTGGCTGGAACGCTTGTCCTGTTAAGATCCCACTACGGCAGAGAGCGGTCTGTTAAATAGTTGTAAGACTAAAAGCAGTTGTAGTACAAACTACCACACTATGATGGGGTCTGAGGGCTAAGTCGTACTCCTACTGGCTGGATGGTGTGCGGCTAGGGTGGTGTTTTCATTGTACGACCAGTTATGCCACGCTGATGCTGCCTTTGTTATGGGGAGTTAGGACGCTCTTCCCTGCCCCGTGGTATTCCGCTGCCGGCGGTATGAGTTTCCTCTCTTCGACGTTAGAACAACCGAATTCCAAATCAACCCACCAAACGCTTTATGTGACAAGCCTCAAGCAGATGTCTTATGGGCTCTGTTGTCAAATATTTTTTTCTTCAAGGTGTTTTAGGCAGAAATAGTCTTCCAAGATATGGATGGCTGTGAAGTGTCAGCCTCCTTCACGCTTCCATTGGGGTACAAAACCTATCCTCGTCTGCCTTTACTTCTTGACACCAATATTAAGCCTCTTACACCGTCCCCAACTTTCCACTCGGCGACCATCTCCAACGATAAAAATCTCAATCCTAGTTTCATAAGATCCCAGTCGCCATCCACTACACGTAGGTGCTTTCAACATCCGAACTTTATGCCGAACTGGAAGGCAAGCATCGCTCGCAAGAACTCTGGAATCTCTAGGCATAGATGTGTCTCTGGGGCATGTATACGGGATCCGAGTGTGGTTATTAAACTGACCTCGTTCAAATTTTACAGGAGACCCAGTGGCTAGCTGTCGTAGACACGCTAGTGTAGGGATAGTATTGAGTTGTAGAGCAGAAAGTGGGCTTCTTTACTGGGTACCAGTCAATAGCCACCTATGTGCTGTCTGACTGAATGGGTCTGTAAGAACTAGGAAAGATCCTGAGACTAGGCGATGCCTGTTTGTATCCTTCACCGACTGCAGTTCGAATGATGCAAAAAACAAATTCTACGAGCTGTCAACTTGGCTACAGAACCAAAACGTTCAGACGTAGTCATAATGGCAGGTGACTTTAACGCTCAAGTGGGGAAGCTGGGTCAATTGGAAGGGTGTTTACGGAATCCTATACCAAAAAACCGACAGCGGTGACCGTCTTGCAGTTATGTTTGGACGATAATTTGTTCCCGGCCAGCATTAACATTGAGCACAAGAAAGGACTGTCTCACGTGGCGTCCTTCGACAGCAAACCATCGATGAACAGTTAGATCATATCGCCTTGAGATAATCGGTGGAGAATAGCCGTCCTTCTTGGAGTTCCGGTTTGGACTCCAATCACGCGTTATTACAGGCTCGTGTGTGTTTTTGCCTTGCTGGTCGCAAGAAACAAGCGGCAATGAAGCCTGTTTGTTCTTGAGGACACCAAGTATGTGTGGAGGAGTTAGCTAAGCATATCTGTCTGAACGTGACAGCAATGCTCATCCAGAAGAAACCTGGCGTGATATTAAGTTTACTGTAGAAACAGCGCTGAGGAAGGCTGACAACCATCCTGAGGTAAGCAAACGTCATTGCGAATTGTTTGATTCAAGAGAACTGGTTCTCATTACAATGAAAAATGAGAGCAACTCGAACGTAGGTTGACCAGAAGTCGGTCACGGACAGTGGCGAAAGCGAGAGAGATGGAGAAGGGGTCAGCATTGGGTAACACTGGGCAACTGTTTAGGCCTGTCAAGGATGCCGTCTAAAAGAAAAACCCAAAGGGATGGGATGCTGATAACCTCCCAGGGCTGGCGGCCAGAACGTTGGGCATAACATTGAAGCACAGTTTAAGTGGTTTTTAGCAACGCTGGGATGGGACATAGATGTCCTACCAACTCTCTTTGAAGTTGAGAAAGCTGTGTCGAACCTGAAGCGATGGAAACAAGCAGGACCTGATAGTTTGTCACCTAAAGTTTTCAAGAATGCAGGTAGAAAATTGGTGAGAGTCTCTGAGTACTGTATGAGGATTAGATTGGTCTACCTCATTGATCATCCCAGTGTATAAGAAAAGAGATAAATCTTATCACAACCATAGGGGAAGTAGTGTGAATAGTATTGGCCAGGATCCATTATTATCCGATGCCTAACGAGCTTGGGAACAGCAGACTCAAGAAAACCAGTCAGGTTTCAGACAGCTGGACGAAGGTGCATCGAAAATATTTCCACCCTATGACATGTTCTGGAACACAGGTATACCTACTGGCCAATGACCGACTTGCCATATTTGTCGGCCTGGAGGCGGCATTTGGTTTTTTTTTCACCGTGAGGTGTGGCAGTGTCTGACTGTGGAATACCGAATAATGCTGACCAAACCTCTCTATTCGAGCTTACGCAGCCGTTTAAAAGCTTATGGAGAGTTGTCTTCAGAATTGACAACAACTAGTGTCCGCCAGGGATGCCCACTGTCACCGTTCCTACTTAACTTCGTTATAGACGTACTAATGGACTTGAACTTGGGTACGTCTGACTTTATAGGGGTCGGTCTACTTCCTGGAGGTCACCTGGTTGACTTGACCTCTTGGATGAAGACCCCGACAATGCAGGATCTTCTGAACACGTTGAACGGGAATCTGAGTATGTTTGACATGCATTTTGCATCTGTCAAATGTAAGATGCTGCTCCAGGACTGGTCCGCACCACTCCCAGTTTCATGATAGGTAGTAGAGTGGTGAAATTTATCGACTACTTTACTTACTTGGGGAGTTGCATCATATCATGATATGAATGTGGACAACAAATTATGTCCGAAACATTATCCAGTAAAAGATAGTCCCATCATGTGACATCTAATAAACAGACTGAAGTGGGTCGTTACCCACTCGTTTGGACGTCTACTGAATAAGAAGACAGTAAGTCTGACTGAAAGAACGACGAACCAGATGAGTGTATTTGGATAACACGAATGCACAAAAATAAGTTTGTGGAACTATGAAGGAGCCAGGGGCTGGTTTGTGCATATCATCGAAGCAAATGTGTTGGCAGCATTTTCAGTAAGCAAGATATGTGGGTGTAAGCTGATTCGAAAAAAGCACCAGTCAAATGAGGAGAGTACAATCAGTTGGGCAACGAATATCAGTGGGTTCAGTTACTAGTGAAAAGAATAAAAACCTGGTGACAAGCATGTCATTGACGCAAACCCTTGTGTAAGAACGGAGAGAAAGTGTTGTCCTAGTGATAAACCGCATAAAGGCCGAACACATTAGACTTCCTATGGTGCCAGTTCAGAACGGATATGTTCATCCTTGCTATCATCTGTATAAATGTGCACTGACCGACACTTCCACTTTTCTTCTCCGAAAAGGAGTGCAACCAACCTCTAGGATTGTTGTTTAACAGCAGATAGGTTGAAAATATTCAGCCAATCCTATAGTACGTCGATTCAGATTTCAAGACCAAACAAATTTAAGAGTAAGGGTGAACAAGGTCAGTACAAAACTGAGCTAGTAGAACAAAAATTGAGAAACTAGTGTAATTAATTATAGATAAGATGCATTGATGTCACAGCGGTAACATTCTTATTTCGACTACCTCTAGTCTGTCATCAACACTAATCGGAGCCACTGATAACAAGAAGCCTGGTGTCAGCGGAACCTCCCATGAAGTGGGTGGTACGCGGATCACCAACTTTTTGGGACGCTATTCGGAGCACTTCCAACGATAGCTTAGCTGGTTGACTGTCCCAGCAACATTGGCCTCAGTGTCTTATGCTGTATGACTAATTAACACCGACGCACCTAACAAAGTGGAGGACCGTAAGGAACATCAAGTACTTAAGTGACCAGCACAGACAAAAACTTAACAGCATCTCTTTGGACATTGTAGTCAAAAGACCGGTATTTTTGTTTGATAGACTGAGTGATCCATCACTCCGAGGAAAAAACATTGTTGTATCCACCCTTTAAAAAGGTCTACTTAGCATGTATATATGATAACCACTGGGTGTTAGTCTGCCATACCTCTGCAGCTATTTGTTAAGGAGAGGTGTCTGATAGGTTTTTCAACATCTTGAAAGCCTTATACTTCAACACCTAAGGCAGAGTGAGTGTATACAGCCATTATTCCAAGCTAAATATGAGGTTAGGCATTGTTACCCTATATTGTCATTCCACTTTTGCCATTGGTTACATTCTCTAGACAGACCTAAGGGAGGTTCATGGCTTAGACCTGCTACTAGGTGAAAGATGCAGGCCTTAGGTACACAAAGGACATACTCTGACTGTGCAACAACATACAGGTTAATCAAGTTGCACTTAATTGAAGTCTCTAAGGGTTTGCTCCGCACCATCGAAGTGTAAAGTGCTTACTCAAGATCGACAGGCGCCTCTGTATGCTTATGGATTGTCTGAAGTTGCCGAAAAGTGAGTGTACCTGGATGCTTGTAAGAGTTCTGGTAGAAGTGCGGTTGATAAAATCCCCAACCATACATTGAAAGCTAGGGCCACACGCCAATTTGAAACAGCCTTGGACAATCCTGTTTTGCATCTGTCAAACCTGGCTTCTTCGACGACTCCGCGTTTTTGATCAACATCTTCTTAGGAGTGCTTACATACAGTGGAAGTAATGTAAAACTGAGGTGAGGTAGTGTGCTTGGGGGTCTTGGTGATCATCATTTATCGAGTGAAGTCATCTTGAAACACTTGTTTCCCTATCTTGGGAATGTGTTACGAATATTGTTCCAGAGAATCTCATATTGTCCCATGCTCCTGGCTGAAGGAAATGGCCAGTGTTTGACAGCTCCGTGAGACGAAAGATAGTTGTTTTTTGTTATTATCCGTAGGAGTAGTAGATTTATCTCTGAAACTCCATATTGATTAACTCATTTCTGTTAGTTCGTTTTCTCTTTCCCTTTCAGTATCAACGTAGGTATACGAATTTGTTTTGTACATCTCTTGGTGGCTACATACTAAACATAAAACAGTTTACTTAACTTGAGACATAAACTGAAACTCTTTGATTAGTCACATCACTTCAACCATTTATATGAGTATAACTTGAGCAAATTGATAGATTACCATTCTATTTTGCTGAAGATTTAACACCCTTTAATTTACTAGAAGAAAGAACAGTCAGTAGTTAAGACAGAAATAATCATAGCGCAGTGCGTAATCTAAGGAAGGCTGTTCAATTGTAGCGAATTGTCGTAACCGCTTGTATAACACAATTAAAGTTACTCGGAACAAGCACAAGAGAAGTAGCAACCAAAATATTAAGGGAGTTGAAAAATAGGGTTACGTGAATAGGTCACCAGATAAACACGCTACTTGACAGTATGTGTAAAATATCGTGAGTTGGACCCAGTTAGTTGGAGATAGTCAAGTTTGTGCTAAATAAGAGGTGATTTAATCGAATAACAGTTGAGAACAGGTTATCATTGTCGAAAGGGGTTGATAGCTTTGCCTTGAAAATGTAAATCAGCTTTAAGGCGTTTGATGGCCATAGTCCCAGTGAATTTCAGAAGACAAAGTAACGTATTGATTCGGTAATAATAATTATGTGCCTGCTCCAGATATACAGATAGTTCTACCGCCCATATCACAATAGACGAGAGGAAATTGCAACTATAAAAGCCGTGTCCCAAAGTTGTGAAGTTACCTTGATATGAATATGGACTGTAGGTTGTATTTGAAACGTCGTCCAAAGAATCGTACTTTTTCGATGTGTGTTATACATGATAAAAGAACTAAATTGGAATTAAAGGAGAACTAATTAGTGGTAATTAATTGTTTGTCTTTTTCGACTTCCTCACTCAACAATATGATAAAAACCACTTTATTCTAGACTCTATTCGGGATAAAGTTTGCTAAACACTTTTTATTTATACATCATGAACTTAACCCTGCCTTTCTGAAACGTTTGTAAATGGGAGGGATATCTTCATTTTTATCCAAATATTTTTTATTTGCATTCACCGTTTCTGTCCAACTGATGCGACTTGAAATGCTAAAAACTCTCTCTCTCTTCAGAAAAAGCTCTTATTACCATCATTGTAAAACAACCGAACTCCTAGCCTGAATAGGATTCTCACAAACCAGAGCCTCTTGGGGTCTTCAATCCATTAGGAAAGGGCGACCATGTCATATCGAGTTCCAGGATGTCTACAAGTGCGAGTTGACTCATTGTGTCACAGGAACTTCGGACAAATTAATGTCGTTCCCCTCAAAAAGCTACAAAATAAGATGGGGGTACAGACAAAGTTGTCAACATACTTTTCTGTTTCATTTATTTGTTTTGAAGTGAAATAAAAATCTGGTCAATAGTCGGGTTTCGTACCTTCGTTGGTAGAGTACCTGGCCAGAAACCCGGTTGTACACTACTTCAGGATGCGGAAGTCAGCTAAGTGAAAGCTACTCTTGTTTCATCGATAATTCCAGTTGAGGGATTCGAGATAAATAAGCCTAGAGCTTCATGTTTTATAAATAGTGAATGATGGTTTCTTGGGTCCGATGTTTGCGTTGTCTCGCTTCCAACGCACTAAAATTATGCTTGTACCTAGATCATCTTCTGGATCATACCTAGAGTTAAGATCTGTTGTTATAACCCCTCCCACTTCGAAGAACAGTAGAGGAACTCCTTCTTTTTGCCTTCCACTTTTAGAGGTCCTAAGTAACTTCCTTTTAAACAAAGTAGAACTACTTTGCATCCTACCGTTGTCTTGTATCATAATGTTGTTCCCAATTTGGACAAGAGTGGTAGGTATTTCGAGTTGTATCTTTTCGGAGTACACACCTGGACTTGAATCCATTTGTAAACCAATCTTGTTAAATAAGCTTGGCATCGCGAATGCTGAGTCTCAAGTCACAAAGCGACTTCATTCTTATCTTTCTGAAGGGAAACACTATGCCGTTTATATAGGGATGCACTCCAATTCACTACTTACTGAAGCCGGTAAGCCTCGAAGTGCTTTGTTTTCTCTTCGTCTTTTTTGTTTCTTTTGCGTGACTTTCTTTATTCTTCTAAAAGCAATATTGTTATTGACTGGTCTAAACAAGACTCGTGTGAGCTGCGTATAACTCTCGTAATATTCATGGTATTACTGTGGAAAACAGATCGGATGTCACCGGTATTAAATTGTCTTTCCACTGATCTTCGTTTGTCGGTTAATGTGTCGCTGACTCCAAAACGTCTGTCATCCAACGGATTACATAGAGGAGCTGAGACTGGCGAAGGTCTCTACTTTAACAATCTACTAATTCCTGGATTTTGCCTTAATAATCCCCCGTCAGACTTACCTGGTTTACTTAAATGCTTCGAAAACTGTTAGCAGGGTTAATAGTGTGCCACTAGCAGTGACTGGGCACGCGCAACATATGTCTGTCATCTCAGCTGCTGAATGTTCAAAACCTTATCGACCGACTTGCCTTTCCTACCTAGTATCCTACACCTAATTTTGACATTTTTGACACGACGATTCCACCTTACTTGAGTAGTAGTGCGAAGACACCTGTGGTCAAAAACTGGTAGTCTCTCCATATCTACTTTCAGTGGCTATGTCTCGCAGCCGTATAACAGGACAGTACGGACTGTAGTGCAGTATACTCGTCTTTTGGTAATCAGATATTTCGCTAGTCGGCACCACAGATAACGCAAGTTGGCAGATACCAGACGGGTTTTTTGCATCCGAGCTGAGATTTCATCAGCAACCTCCCCATCTGGGCTGGTGCAACTCCTCAGGTAAGTGAAGCGGTTGATGCATTCTACCACTTCATTTCCCTATCCTTAAGCTACGAGTGGTTGCAGACCTGTTCTGAAGTATCATCTTAAATCTGACCGGTGAAAAACTCATAGAATGACGAATGAGAATATGACATAGGGTGATTGGACAGAGTGATTAACATGCATCAGAAGCAAGTAATCGACTAAATGACTGCATTCAACTCGTGATTATCCTTCAAATTAAGCAATAAACAAGAAGACTATTTACATTGTATCAATTAATCCAGTAAAGCTATTGCTTACGTACATGAAACTCAAAGTAATATGAGTAGAAATTATACAGTTGATTAAGAATAAGAGAATACTTTACCGAACCACCAGTGACTTCTCAAAAATGTATGTAAGACTGCCTTACTGTCTGTCATACCAAAGAAAATGCATCAAGCGAGAAAGCACCGAGGTCAAAAACAAGTAAATGAGAGGAAGAAAAAATAAGAGAATACCGAATTCAACATGACAATTAGAATGAGGATGTGTGGATACATTTGCGCTACTGACATCGATTATGAGCCGTAGTGCCTAGAGTCTCCAAACACTGGTTTCTATTGTCTTGCAGACCCCGGCCAGGAAGTCTACGTGGTTCAGACCAATATTCAAAGGCTCCAATAATTGATCCTATGCTTTAGTCTAGCCACCTTGAGCCTTTTCCCAGTCTAAACCTACTTCAACTAAAATTACGGGACGAAACAGACGGTAACTACGCAAGCGTAATACATACCTCAGTCGATGAGGGCTCACAACTTCAGCCGACTTTCCCCTACTGCCTAAGACTTTACACATGACTTCTACATTACTGATTTGGTAGTACCAAAGCACAGTCTGTGGTGCAAGGTCAACGGTGGTTCAACACCAAGATCCACATCATGTTCTGTTTACCTTTAGTGGCCTCGTTTCACTGCCATACAACAGAACAGAGCGAAGTGCAGTACACAGCGGTGCCATAAATGGCGTGGGTTGGTGAAAGGTAACTGACCTCTTTGTATCCGTGCTTAGATTTCATAAGTAGCTGACTCACCAGGGCTCATTCAACTTCCTGGGTGAGTGAGGTGGTCAACGCGCGCAAACACTTCTTTCCCTACTATTTACCGGGGTATAACAGGACAATTCCTGGGAAAACAATTTCAACTGACTTACAAAATCAACGTAGAACCTCGCACACAAGTGCACCAATTCAAGTTGACATACTTCACTGTCGTACACGAAGAACAGGTGGATGGGAAAAGACTGATATCAAAGTAGCATGAGAGAATAGACAATTTGAATTGAAGATAGCGGCCAGTGTTAAAACTCAAGCTTTAAAAGAGGTCAAGAAGTGAGTACATCTGCACCATTGACTGATTTCCAGCTATATCACCAACAGTCATCAACCGCTAATTCCTTTCGTCCCGATAACCTCAACCAAGCAGTTTGTGTCTCCCTACACAGAGACTTCATCGAGTGATACTGTGTCTTCGTCTGGCCACACTGATTCCTCTCCCAAACTCATCCAACTACCCCCAACATGGCACGTCCCGACAGGCGGTGGCTCGGCATACACTGTACGCATCTAAGCCATCTCCGTTGACTGAGGTTCACAACCTTATCAACTGACTTGACTGTCTTGTCTAATACTCTTCCCCTGACTTCCAGATCGCCCATACGGTGATTCCACCAAACGCGAACAATGCTAGGAAGATGCGTTATCAAACCCACTAATCATTTGACATCGTCTACTTTAATGACCATGTCTCAGCCATACAATAAGACGGAAGGGACTACAATGCAGTTTACTCGTTTTCTGATAGATAATTGGATATCTCGCCGGCAGTGACGCAAGTTGGCAGATGTCAAACGAGCACTCTTCAAATTGTAACTCAAGGTGTCCAGAAAACTACATTTTGTCGACGTCCTCGTCGAACAAGAACATGTCATCTGCGTAATCTAGATCTACCAAGGATTCTCCTGTGATAAGATCCATCTCTATGAAGTCAACTGACGAGGGAAATATCTCCATAAGTTAGATATAAATGGAGAGGATTGACATCCTTGATGGATAACACTCACCATAGACACGCCCAAAAGAGTGATAAACTTACTCGATACGCCTTTCAGTGAGAAACAGTGCTATAAGACCCTGGTCGATAGGGTCCAATTCCACTTTTGGGTCGAGAAATGCAGTCAATATCGGGCGTCAGTACACCTACCTGTGTTTCGGGTGAATATCTAGTCGATACGCCTAGGATCTGGATCCTACCTGGTTTCCTTATGTTTGTTGTTCCCAAGCTCTACTCAGATTCACTAGCAAACAGGACGTTTATATCTGGGATGAGCAAGATTATACTTATCTTGAAAAACAAAGGAGTAAGTTAGAGGTCTACGAAAACTTTGTAGTGAGAAACAGTCCAGCACCATAGCAACATGCCACTATAACCAACAGTAGAGGTTTTAGAAAAGTCTTTATTTCATACTTTGTTGGGGAAAATGTACAAGGATAATAACCAGCAGATACATATTACGTAGTTTCTTCGGATACCTCTAGCGTGCCTGTGGTGTTGATCGACTGACTTGCAGCAATACCGTCAGGAAAATGTTTCTGTACTAACTGTAAAATATTATCTGCTTGTCTATTGGAGAATCGCGAATCCAGATCACTGATTATCTAAAACAAAATTCCAAGAGAAAATAACAAAACATAAAAATGTTTTTAGCTAGATTTTCGGAAATTCCAAATTAACAGCCAAATATTTAAACATACAATTACTTTCGCAGTAATTGTCACAATAATCAGCGTAGTATGCAACAAAACTTTAGAAAACCATTGTAAGAAGAACTTGAATATAAAAGCCTGATTTTTCACAGATAGCAGATAAGGGAAAGCAGTAGAAAGGATAACTTACAACTTGGAGAGTTGTATCAGCTTGAACGGACTAAATGCTGACGAAGTCTCAGCTGGGATACGAAAGTAACATTTGGCATCTGTAGCGCCGACTGACAAGATATCCGACTATCTATAAAATGACAAACTACTATATTACGGTTTATTCCGTCCTGTTATATGGTTGTGAGTAAAGCATATCAATCGATTGGAAGTCTTTGATGAGAGATATATTAACAGCATCGCTGGCGTTTCATGGAATCATCGTGTAGGTAATGTCGATGTCAGGCGAATAGTACTGGGCAAGATAGATAAGTCGATTAGTGAGATCGTGAACCTTCATTGACTGAGGTGGCTTGGACATGTATTGCGCATGCCGATCCACCGCCTAACTCGATATGCAATGATAAGGGAAGTTGGATTAGGTTTTGAGGGGGTTGAAGGTAGCCAGGCCATGTCGTGGCACCAGTCGATGAAGGCTTTGACTGATGGGTTAAGACGTGTGGAGAGATGTACGCTACCTGGTTGGAGTCCTAGAGAAGATAAGAATCAGTTGTTGACGACTTAGTGACAGCTCGAAATTTAACAAAATGGCGCAGATGTATTCACTCCTTGATATCTTCTAAAGGTTGAATATTTGCAATAACCGTTATCTTCAAATCGGTTGTTCTCTCACACAGCTTTGTCGACTTTGATATCAGTCTGTTTCTATTCACGTGTTCTTTGTGTACTATTGTGAAGTGTGGCAACTTGAGTTAGTGCATTTGTGTTGTGCGAGGTTCTACGTTGATTTTGTCTGCTTGTTATAACAATTCTATTTGCTACATCACACATCAAGATATAACACAACAAGTCAAACGACAAAGAAACCGAGAATAATGAAGTTAAAAGTAACAAACACTCCTGTAATTATAGAGGAATTTAAGGCAAACAACAAACGGTTAGGATAAAGATACGGTATGGACCCATCAGCATCATTTTAATAGAATCTGAACCCTATTGCTGAATCTTTTTTTACTCACTTCTTTTTACTTCATTTACTTTACTTGACTTACTTCATTTACTCACAGAAATATCATGCAAGTGACCAGTTTCTTCAGCTAGAGGACTTCCGAGATGGAAGTTTGCATTATTATCAAATTTTAACCGGCTTTGAGACTGGAGTTCAGTTTTTAACTTAAAATAACGTTATGAATTGGCATTTCAGTATGTGCAGATAGACAAAAGCAACGTAGAACCTTCTACACAAGTGCATCGGTTCAAGTTGACACACTTCACAGTAGTGCAAAAAAACAAGCGGGGGGAAAAGAGGTGACATCAAAGTAGTATGGGAGAATAAACAATCTAAAGGTATAGAATAGTGCTAATATCCAAGCTTTAGATGTCATGGAATGAATACACCATTGTGGTCGATTTTCAGCCATGATACCAAGATTCCTCAACCACTGGTTCCTTTCGTCTCAGAAATCCCAACCAGCCAGTCTACATCTCCCTACACAATTCCGACCTACAGTAAGTGACTTTAGCGACTGATGGCACGTCGTTGTCTGGCCAACCTGAACCCTCTCTCAAGCTAATCCACCTTCTCCCAACATGAGACGTCGAGGTAGGCAGTGGCTCAGCATGCACTGTACATGTTTAAGCCATCTCAGTTGATTAGGGTCTACAACCTTATCAATAGACTTGTCTGTTTTGCCTAGTACCCTTTGCCTGACCTCAAGATTGCTCACACGGTAACTCCAACAAACGCAAGCAATGCTACGAGGATACGTGATCAAAACCTGTGACCGTTCCACATCGTCTACTATCAACGGCCATGTCTCACAGTCAAGTAACAAGACAGAAGGGTAGTATACTCGTCCTTCAACAAGTGGTCGGATAACACACCAGTTGGCGCTACATATGACGTAATGTGACAAATGACTAACGGTCTCTCTGTGTACAAGCTGAGATTTCGTCGGCAACCAACCCGTTCTGATTGATGCAACTTTCTACGTAAGTGAAGTGGTCGATAGATTCCACCACTTCACTCCCTATCATTTAACTAGGTGTACCTGCAGCAGATTAGTCCTGAAGCGTCGTCTTACGTTTGACAGATGCGAAACGCATGCCGAACATATTTAGATTTTTGATAAACGTGTTCAAAAGAGCACTTTGTCAGCGTCTTCACTTAGCAGGACGATGTCGTCCACATACTCCAAGTCAACTAGATGAAGTTTACAGAAAACGTCAGACGTACATAATGTGTCCATTAGGACGTCCCTACCGATGTTAAACAGGAATGCCGACTGGGCACCCCTGGCGGACATTACTAGTTGTCGTCAGTTCTGAAGCAAACCTCCATAAACCCTACATGAGTTCGAGTAGAGAGATTTGATAAGCATTAGGTACTTGCTCGGCACTCCCTTCACAGTCAGACACTACCACAACGCCTCACGGTAGAGTCAAATGCCGCCTCCAGGTCAGAAAATATAGCAAGTGTCGGCTGCCGGTAGGTATGCTTGTGTTCCAAAACCTATCGTAGGGTGAAAATATGTTCGATACACCCTCTTCCAGCTCTGTCTGAAACGTGGCTAGTTTCCTCCAGTTTGGGCTTCTCGAGCTCTAGTTACGCGTCGGATAACAATGGATCCTGGACAATACTATTTACACCAACTCCTTTATAGTTGTCAAAAGAAAACTCTTCCTACTTAGAGAGTGGGATGATCAGTGAGGTAGACCAGTCTAACGGTACCACCTCACACACTACCTAGTACCTCCGTCACTTTAATCACCAATTTTACACCTCCATCCTTGAAATCTTCGGCCACTGAACTGTCGCGTCCTGCTGCTTTGCATCGTTTCAGGTTTGATACAGCTTTTTCAACTTCAATGAGAGTTAGTGGGACGACATCTACGTCCCACTCAGGTTTAGGCTGGATGCTGGTCAACTGAAGCGTTGTTGAGGGCCAGCTGAACTGTGCTTCAGAGTGTTCTAGCCAACGTTTTGCCGCCAGACAGTGAAGGTTATCAGGGTACCATCCTCCTAGGTGATGGTTTGACTAGCTATCGTTCTTTTTGTCGGTATCCTTGGTAAACCTAACCAGTTGCCGAGTGCGTATGGTACCCTGGCTTTCGATATGCTGGTGGGGATTTCATAACACGCATCCACCAGCACACACAAATAACCAGATACACGAACTTCCTGATCATTTCCAACGGCTCACCACCGAGGGTGACCGCAGACAGGCTCCTTCCAACCTCGCAAAAGTAGTTTGCACTTCGGATGGTGCAAAAAACACGCCGTATTTACGGACTTAAATGAGTCAAAAATTCTCATTGTTAAAATTAGAACAAGATACGTGAGAAAACAATATTGATTTCAATTAGACCCCAGGCTATAATATACACTTTGGTTTTCTTATATACTGAGCAGTAAAGCAATTATGGCGAATTCTTCAGTTTGTGGTAACAAGGCAATGCAGTAAGCAAATGGAGACTATTCAAATAATGACAGTGATGATAATAATTTCGATATTTATCCTAATAATGATAAGAATAATGAAAACGTGATACTGTAAACATTTAAACAACCAACTTAGGTCAAGACTTAAGATGAAGTTGTGTAATAATAAAGAATGAAGTGTACAGATATCCTTTATCGAGAGAAATTTCAAACGCATGTGAAAAATTAATCTTTAAAATCAGTTATTAAGTTCTCTTCCTCCAAGGCAGAGATAAAAGTTGTACTAAATTTCCCTACAAACTATGACCATAATTGCTTTTTCTAATACCTATACCCCGAGCTATAAGTTTTATGCGACCACAAGGACTATTCGAAAGCTTCCGTGAAATGTGATAGGATACATAATTCTGGACGTTTTGGACTCATCTATAGCATGATTTCTGTGGTCCAAATGCGACAAGAATGAACTTCGTACTGACTCAACTGAACTAGTGAAATGGTTCAAGCGCTAATGATTAGAAATTATTACTAAAGAGTGTGCGATTATGCATATTGGTCATAGTTGTCATTAGTATATCATACATGGAGTGCCAGTACCAGATGTCCAAGAAATTGGACTCGGGAGAGAGCATCGAGTATAAATTGAAGACGTCTGAATACTGTAGTGAGATTCCAGGTAAATTGACCTCTTTGCACAGAGTTCAAATACTCTGATGAAGACATATCCCGGATATTGTATCTCTTGTTTGTCAAACACTACCTCGAATGTTGCATTGAATCGTCGCTCGTTAAAAGATGATAAGGCACTGGAGTGCGCTTAAAAACTCGGAACTAAATTGGTGGACTGACTACTTAACTATCCTATAAGGACCATTTATTGAGATTAAATCTGCTCCCCTGTCTTATCGTGAAAGAAAGGGTGACTTAACATCAGCATTCCGTACCTTTAACAATGGTCTGGGAACGGATGTCTAGTCCACCATCCTCCAACGATCAATTAGCTTCGAAGCCACCACAAGATAATTCGAAAATCACGTTCGAGTCAGCTTAAGGCGAGCCCAGGTGGGACTCATTACCCAAGCAAGTGGTATCAGCACCTCTGATGAGCACATTTAGAGCGTAACGAGACCTACATGGAGAAATCAATTGCAAAAATTTAAAACACCCAAACTGGTCACTATCCTTGCTAATGAAGCCACATATATCCCCAAAGTGATCGAGGGTACAGAAATGTATGTGTAAAACCAATGATCACTTCAGAATATATGCACATGCCAATGGGAGAGACAAGGACTAAAACGACTTACCACTGATAACTCCACTTGGCTACTAGGACAATGGTTGATAAGCATCAAAATTTCAGACTTTGTCAAATTAAAGTCTTTGATTTCATTTGCGAACGCCTGTACTTCAGCTTCTGACTGCTTGCTGCAAGGTGTTTTACAGTTTAGATACTTCCCACATGTGAACATAAGTGTCTGCTGGCGTCTGACCTTCTTCCTGGACTCCTTGATTACTTTTAAGACTTCGAGGTTTGTTAGAAGACGGGGATTTTGCACGTCGATGAGTTCCATGTAGTAATTCCAAGTAGTCAGAAATAAATTCTCACGTTACTTCGGTCTCACGTTGCGTTCAACTATTACAGCTCCTGTCCAAAATACGAATCCCCAAGATATGGAAACAATAACAAAACATAAAATCCAAAACAACTTCTGCCGCGTATGATAAGGAATCTGGTACATGCTCCGCTGGTAGCCTAGCAACTACCCTATCAATTCAAGGACTAACCAACGTTCAATGCCAGTCACATTTTCGTTTATAGGATTTTCACTTCAAGAAGGAAGAGCTGTGAACCTATTTTAATCCTTTTCTAATAGATCATTTTTGTAGCTTTATATTCAATAAGTAAGTTGATTATGTGAACACTAAATGTCGGTTCCGAGGACTAAATACTAGACGCGAAAACCGCTACGTAGATTTTTGGTTATTCTACGCCCATGCCATTTTATCTGAGGTGTTTCGACCCACTTAGAAACAGAATTGGAAGTAAAAAATGTCGAAGTGATTTCCTACAAATCTCTTAAGTTAGATTTCAGACTTCGCGCTGTAGAAGTAGTGAAAGATGGTTCCTTGGGTCCTACTTCGATCTTACAGGAGTATGTTATGGGTTTTGATACGTCACAATTGCCTTCCTGGTTCCGAAACTCCGGAAAGGACAGAGATAGTCGGTTATTAATCAGTCTGGCCTGAAGGTAGTAATACCCCTGATCTGTAGATGACAGAAGGCTTCTCAAGTACAGCCCATCGGATTTGTATGATAAGAATGAGTAGCCTATGAGCTTCTAGTTTCGAGTATGTCATTTCCAAAATAAAGACGGTTTAGGGAGGTTCCAGCTTGTAGGCACGTGCTGTTTAGCGTTCACTGGATCTCCTTGATGGTCAAATCATGTTTCGGCGTTCATCGTTGTAGCACAGTTTACATATATGGATCTTTCTTTGGAGACACTTACTCAAGGAACTGAGGTGATACGGGTCGGCAAGTAGTACTAGATTTTCAGGACTCCAGATTCAGTGTTTGGGCCTCCAGTGTTACATTTTTAACTTTTATTCGTTCCCTCTGAGTTTCATCAAGCATCTGTCCTTAAAAGTTAACTCAAATGGTTTACAGAAATTTCTTGCGCTAAGTAGGGAATAAAACAGTTACCGGGGATTCACACACATTTTGTCAACTTGTCATATACTTTACTGGAGAGGTACAACGCCCATTCAGACTTTCCATTTAGGGGTCCATCATGTCACGTGTGCTGTTCGTGTTACAGTCAATGTTCCAGCTTCTGGATGGAGCATATGTTTGTAGAAATTTGAAATTCCCTTCTGTAAACCTAGCGAATACTCCTAAGAATATCTTAAATATGGAGTTCCTCTTGTCGACAGTTCCAGATGTGTTCGCAGCCGGTGGGGCTACGGGATACTGTCATACCCGGGTGGCGCTCCCCACCAATATTCCGTAAAGTACTGTGTCTCACTGTACGTTCTTCAGTCAAAGAATACCGAATTTGAGTTAAAACTTCCTCGCGCCATTGCTGAATTCTAGATGGTCCTGCGAGTTCTAATTAATCGTTGCGAGCACGTAGTATATCAGGTTAACCTCGGTATCGATCTCTATCTATGTGCCGAAGTTCTTTGTAAACGGTACTGTTAACGACCTGACAGTGTCAGCCAGGCACCTACTTGACATTTTTAGAATAGCAAAAGACCCGATAGCGGTCACTGGAAACACCTTCTCCGGTGGCTTTAAGCCGAGTTGTGAACGTTCACCCTGACCATAAAAGAATGATTGCCAAAGTAAACACTGGGTTAACTGATGTCCGTGAATGATAGTGCCAAGTAGTCTGACCAGCAGGTGACGGTGACTTGACGTCAAGGGGCTAAAGGGTGTCTGGTGAATATGTTTCTAGCGTTGGATACAATTGTTCATCGTCGAAATCACAGGATATAGCTTCATATGAGCCTACACCATCCAGTTTGGTTCAACTTCATCTTTGTGATTCAACTGGATAAACTAACAGGTGTAGAGACTAGCAGTTTCGAAAAATGACTGTGGTTATCAGTGTATAATTCTTCCGCTTCTTCTGTACATCGGTGCGGTCATTCTACTTGTCCGTGTTTGGGGAAGGCGAATTTGGTGTGGAATGTTTTGTGCTGTAAACTGATTGATGACTTCAAAATGTCAGCAACTCCTATAAGCGTATAAGAGGGCTGCCACTGATGAAGAGGTTGACAGCGGGTTTAAGATTTGTTAGTTTCGGGAGGCATGACCCAACGTGCCAACACCTTTCGAACACAGTCTGTCGGTACGGTGTGGTCACGCAACCCTCGATTCCCCTTTCACTACAGTGCAATCTGCAACGTTCTTTGTCTAATGGATTTGCTGATTCATGCCTTCACCCCGCGGTGATATCATCGCTCAAGAACGCCCATTCAATAACGGATACCTGAAGTTTGCTGTAACTAGCCGAGGACAGCCCATTCAACGAGTGGGACAAATCTAATATCAGGAAGTATGAACCTAGTTAGCAGGCCGAAGGCAATGATTCGGGGATAATTCATGACAAGTACTCAAGTCCTATTATTGAATATTATTAGTTTTTAACGTAGAAGGGGGGGGTGCTTATTCCAGCTAGTCACATAGGATGTTAAGTGGTTTTCGCAACACTTTCTTAACCCATCTGTTACAGCCTCGACCATAAAATGGACACGACACCCACACTTAACCTGCATACACCTATTCATTGCACTAGTTAGAAGATCATCGTGGGCTATATCAGCAGGTGAAAGGTTAGGATCATACATACCAAGCACTCGCCCTATTCGTAGGGAATTCATTTACTAGGTATCCATTGGCACCGACAGAATCGTGGACACATGCCACTGGCGATCTATTCTGGATTTGCTTCTGTCAGTTCTAAATATGTTCACATCATCTGTTGCTATTTCCAGCCTATTTATCGGAAGAAACAGCCGTGTTTTCGCCATCGCCACCGGTCACAAATTTCTCGCCCTGCCATGAAGGCATTTGTTCCCCAATTTTTCACGTTATGCTTTGGCGGCTGGTGAACAAATAGGATGTTCACTCAACGCCGAAAAGATGGGGTTGATTTGCTCCCACAGTGACCAGTGTGAGATCTCGGTTTTCCCTAGGTGGATACTTGTTGGGCCATTGGCGACAATTTCACCACCTCTATCGACTGCTGACAGTGCAGCGGAGATTGCACCGTCTGCCTACCATAATGCGGAGCGCTGATGCTCAACTAAGGCCTCGAGTCAAGACAACCTTTTACAGCCAAGAGTTCGCTGCCAATTATCACTCTAATGAGTGACCTATTTTATTCCCGCCGGCTCCATTAAGTGTGCCACGCAGAAGGAGGTAACTCGAAGCCCCCAAAAGCATAGATACACCCCTAGGCTCAGCAGAATACAAAGACAGCTCTAGAGGAAATAAGGAAGTCAGGATGATGCATAGTCCCAATAGGGTCCCTTGACGTGGTCTGCCACTCAGCCCGGGATGACCTGGGATGTGATGGGTGTTTAAATGTGGCAGTTAGGTGTACACAGGTTAACCACAGAACTGCTGTTGTAACTGGCGACTTCGATAGTCCGAACTTGGATTTCCACAGCAGCCCCCTGGGAAAATCAGTAAATAACTCCTCCTGCGGAAAGTTAACAAGTGAAATGGAAAGTGGTTTAGCGGAAAATTGAAGCACCGTAACCGACCAGAGTGGATGCTAAGTGTCTTCAGAGCTAAGTAAGGTATTTGCTGGGAAAGGAATCAAAGGGGTGTCCTATAACCAAACCTCCCCAAGAAAAAAGCGCCAAAACAGTTGCGTTGTCCAAGTTTTTCTTCCTGTCTCGTCCCTCAGTCTCAGGAGGAGGGCTAGGACATTTTGGCAAAACTTCAAGAAAATCAACGCAAAGCTACTCCCACACATTTTGAGCGCAACAGAAGGGGTGACATTTGGGAAAGCGAACATTCACTGCGACAGCGCGTACTTAACTAGTGTAATCCAAAGGGCTTCGATCTATCGTTGCCTTAGTTCATTTAAGAGCAATGCAGATAGCCGAGAGTGCCCTCAAGTGGGTCAACCGCAAGTGGCAACTCCGGTGTTTGTTGCGCCATCCAACGATGCCTGAAACTTGCGCAGAGTATGAGAGCTCCTTGAAAACAGTGCGAGGCCCCGCCCACACAAGACGTGAAACACTCTATGGCAGGCTGAAAAATGCTTCTCGAATGGCTGCGAAAGTCTGATTCCACACATCGCGGATCTTGAGAAGATAAAATTCAGCTTTCCAGTGGTGCACCAGCGGAATGCCTGTAGTGGCTTATGTAAAATCGCGGCTCTGGATAAATGCACAGCGCAATACATCTTCATAAATGGATTTATTTGTTACGACTAACCAAAGTTTACCGCAAACAGCTGTGGTTGGTTCCTTTTAGAGAAGGCATTTAAAGGTGGCGATGCGGGCACGTAGCTCTGTTAACCCATAGTGGTTCTCCCTGTCTCCCTAATTTGAACAGCTCGTAGAAGGCTGACTGTACACTTCCCACTCGTTGAGTGTTGTAGTCAGAAAACCGAGCCTAGCCAATATATGACCTGGGTCTAACCAGTAAGCTGTTGGGCAGTTCGGTCGGAACATAGTTTCCCTTAGTTTGATCGGCACCAGACCGGTCACTCTGGTGTTTTTCCAGCTCAAGTAAAAAAAGGCATTGGCAAAAGGTTAGTTCACGGCATTATCACCACATAATGAAAAGTAATCAAGCCAAAGCCGATGACATCCGCTCGATATACTGGAAGCGGCTATGAGTCCAGCGAAATCGCTTTTTGGCACGTTATCCAGCATAGAATTACCATGAGGACGTTTATCATATTCATGGGGAATAGGAGAACCATACCCATGAGTGACGGAAGTACCAAGTTCGAACCTACGAAGTACAGACCAATTACCATACTTTCGCAAAGTTTCGGAATACTGGAAGACTTGATTAATGACTGCCCATATGACATCCCAACCTCGC